AAATCCACAAACCAGATCCCAATTTTGGGCGGCAGGTAGCCTAGCAGTTAAGAGCGTTGGGCCAGTAACCGAAAGGTCGCTGGTTTGAATCCCAGAACAGACTCGGTGAAAAATCAGTCAATGTGCCCTTGAGTAAGGCACTTCACTCTAATTGATCCTGTAAGTCGCTCTGGATAAGAGTGTACTAAATTACTGAAATGTCAAATGTAAAAATGAGTACTAGAAAACAACATACTTCAGGGTTATTTGCGTAAGGCTGACTCTGACCTTGAACTGTGTAAAATGTAAATTGAGTGTAAATTGCAACAATAATGATCAGCCCAAATCTGACATTTCTTTCAGTTTAGACCAAATATTCACACATTTATCTCTATAGTCAAGCATTTCATATCTAGGCATCTCTAAAGATGCTGTCTGGAATAGGGAGACCATGCAGGGAGCAGCTGCTGGGTATCCCCCTTCCCTCCCCACACCCCCGGTGTGGCTGATGGCCCATGGAGGGATGAAGACAAGACACTCACCGACATGTGTGATGACACAGTCCACACGCTGCTGGAACTCCTGCAGAGACATCTCATCCTCTCTCAGCCAGCAGAGCATCTCAGGGTGTGGGCAGCATCCGCTCTCCTTCGTCAATCCGCTCCGTCACAGGAGGCTGAGGCACCCTCCACACACAATGCCTGGTGCCACTCCCAGTCCGCAAGCACCTCTGAGGGATGATGTGAGAGAAGGGAAGCAACTTCAGGGTCTGAGGATACCTCTAACTCCACTGAAAAGATCTCTTCACGTCAAAAATTACAATACAATGTAGCATAGTATGTGTGTGTGCGTTGTTAATAATGGATGGATACATACACACACACACACACACACACACACACACACACTCACTGGGTGAGCCAATCAGGAGGATTTTACGGCGCTCTCAGGCAGATGCTCGGCTTGCTGTAATAAAGGCTGAGTCAGACACCAGGAAGCAAAAGAGAGCCGCTACCTGCCTTGGGGAGATAGGGAATCCATTAGCCCCCTAACACAAAACCTGGAGATATAGCGCCACTAAAACGGAGCTAAAGTACCGTATGGGACATGACGAAAACTTTGTTTCAAGAAAATGATTTAATTCATTATTATTATTATTATTATTATTATTATGTTTAATTAATTATGAAAAGTATTGTCTAAATGGTAGACAATATAACATAAATCAAATTATGATATTCAATAATATTATATCAATTTAAAATATAATATTGTAAGTAAAGGATTTTATTTTCAAGTCATCCATTACTAGCATACAAAAACTAAAATGTGTAGATATGACTATTAATACATTTAGCGTTCCTATTTTAATGTCATGAAAGAAAGCATGATTCAATTGACATTGTTATTTTGTGCTCAGACAAAACTAAACCAATAGGCTATTTACCCTTCGTTGTGGTTTTGAAACCAATAACGGCAACCCATCCCTCTACTATTCTGTACCACATTTTGATGAAAGCAAACGTGCAAGCCTAGAGCATTATCTTTTTACCACACGCCATTGCGTTGCATTGTGGCGATTGCCACAGCATTGAGAAGCCGCCCAGTAGACATCTGCGTTTCCACTCCATTACCACTGGATTCGATCATGTGACGCATAAATGGTCGTGACTGGTGATGAGAGGCATAAAATATTATCAGAATGAAAATGTATTATTTTAACTTATTTCACATACATCATTCCTAGTACAACAGCAATGACCCTCCCTAGTGTCGATGAAGAGGAGACGGAGGAGAGGAAGCCGCTTCTGACTATTGAAACGCTACTGTCGCTCAACTCTCTGATTGTCGATTCAATCAAGGTGACTAGAAGCAGCCTTGTTTTGGTTAATTGTGTAAATGAAGAACATAAGAATAGTGCACTGGATCTGGCAAAATTGCCCATTGCCTGCTAAAGGAGTTATGGTGCTTTCAAAACAACTGGGAACTCGAAAAAATACTAGGTCAAATCATAACGTCAGAGCTCTAGAACGATGGCCGAGTTGGATTACCTTTCAAAATGATTTTTCCAAGTCAGAGCTAGTTTTTTCCCCCTGAGTTCCCAGTTGTTTTGAACGCTCGGAAGTCAGAGATTTCCGAGTTCCCAGTTGTTTTGAACGCAGCAAAAGATGCCAGAGTTCCTGACTTGGAATTCCTAGTTGGATGACCGTTAAACGAGTTTTCCCAGTCATACATCGTTTTCCCGAGTTCCCAGTTGTCCTGAACGCTCGGAAGTCGGAGATTTCCGATTTCCCAGTTATTTTGAAGGCAGCATTAGCCCTTGATCATGACTCTTAGGGTGTTTTCACAGTTGGGTCCTCAAGTGTGATTTCAGTGATTTTGTGTGTGCAGTGTGTGAAAACTCCAAAGGAACTCAGACCTCTCAAAAAAGCCCCGAAGCGAACCGAACGGAGACCATCTCGAGAGGTGGTCTGAGTTCGGTTCAATTGAATTCTAAGTCGGGTTCCCTTTTTTAGCGCAATGTGAACACAAAGCTCCCCAAGTTCGCTAGTCATTATTCCTGCGCCACACACTAGACTACTGCAACACCGTTTCCTCTACCATAACCACCCACTCACATTAGTGGCACAAAAGAGAGAATATGATGTGCCGGTTCGGGGGGAACACGCTGTTTTTGGATATTAATTAGCGATTGTCATGGATGCACAGAAATTCCACAAAAAGTGTGGAGTTTTTTGTTCAGATTATTTATTTGCAATATGTGATATATAGGCTAAGAGAGCTTCATCAGTTGTTTATTCGAATGTGGGGTTTGAATAATGTGAGAAGACAACATATAGTACAAAATCAATACTAGCCGCTTAAAGGGGCAGTAGCCTACATTGGGTGTATACTTTTTAATTACAGGATTATTTAATCTGCAGTTATTCTAATGCTATTTATTCTGTTATCAATAATATTTACATGTTAATAATAATATGCCATTTAGCAGACGCTTTTATCCAAAGCGATTTACAGTCATGTGTGCATAAATTTTTACTTATGGGTGGTCCCGGGGATCGAACCCACTACCCTGGCGTTACAAGCGCCATGCTCTACCAATTGAGCTACAGAGGACCACTTAATAGTATCTTCGGTTTACAATTATGTCTAATCTTTTAACTAAATGCAATCTTATCTTCCAAAATGTAAGTAGGTATATCTAGCGGTCCGATAACACGTTATGATGGAATGGCATGTCCTGCACTTTGTAAAAGCCCAGAGTGTATTGAGTGAATGTTGGCAAAATATCTTGGTTCCTTTCTAAACATAGCAATGTGAATGCAAAGAGGACTCGAACCACAAAATAGGTGAAGTGAACTGGCAAAAGAGTTGAATCCTCATTCAAAGGCAAGGGCAGTGTGAATACAAAGATAACTGAGATATTTAGCTTTAAAGAGGACTATATGTGAAAACACCCTTAGTTCCATTAATTGGGCCCAGCGTCGTCCAGGTTAGGGGAGGGTTTGGCCGGCTGGGATGACCTTGTCCCATCGCATTCTAGCGACTCCTTGCACGCTGACTTCGGTCGCCAGCTGTATGGTGTTTCATTGGATGAAGGCGTCTTCTGTAGGGGGAGTTTTGTTAAGATTCCCGATGCTCAACCTGAACGTTAACACGCTTCACTTGTGGTACGGTATTGGAAGCATAAGGACTTTATCTTTAATTTCAGCGAGAAGTAATTTTCAAAAAATGAAAGATTAAATTGATACACACCTTGATAGGGTTAGGGCTACAGCGCTTGTTTACGGACAACCGAAGGAAGACAAGAGGCGACCACCTATGCTAATTAGCTATTTAGTATGCTCCAAAACACCTGTGTATGAGGAGGTGTAGTTTCATCAAATGGAGGCACCCACAGTTTTATGGATCTGCAACCTGTGCAAAACTGCTACAGTAAGTGTATCTTTTTTATTTGAAGGATTCTTTGAAGCTGATGAAAGATAAGGGCCATATGTTTCGAAAGCCGTATCACAAGCGATGATTATTGACATTTCTAAACGTTAAAACAGCGTCGGGATTGTATCCTGGTTCACATGAGGCAATCGTGTGCGAAGCTAATGGCTGAGAACTGTAGGGAGAAGGACTGCAAGGCAGAATGCTGCCAAAAGCTTTCGAGAGCTAGAGGAAACTGTACCTGCACATGTGAAGCTTGGATATGTGAGGTGTGCGTTGAGAGTATTTGTGTCCAAACCACACAAATGCTGTTGGAATTGCAAAAGATATGGCCACGTTCAAATGTTTGCAGACGGGAGAAGTATGTTATTGAAGAATCTGTGAATGGAAAATGTTGCAACTGTGGTGGGGATCATACTCCGTACTTCCTTGAGTGCCCTGTTTGGGTGAAAGAGGTCAAGGATCAGGGCTGTACAGCAGACCTCCTAAATGTGAAGGGGCAAGAGACCACAGTACTGAAGAAGATATGGTGGTGAATGAATCACAACCAGTTGCAAATGTTTTACATCAATCAAGTGATCTGGATACACTCATTGTGAAGAAGGTGGATTTTGTAGCAGTTATAGCCACAGTTATTAATTGTACTGCACAAGAGTCCAAGAAGCTGGACAAAATTGTAGCCGAAAAGTTTTTGGGGCTCCAAGACTATATGGCAGAAGTACTACCAGGACTGTCACCAGAAAATGTCGCGCCCTATGGCAGAAGTACTACCAGGACTGTCACCAGAAAATGTCGCGCCCTCACAGGATCCATCAGAGCCTGTGTAGGGACCTGATTTGGATTTTGACAGAAAAACAAGTTGATTTTTGCTTAGTTTAACCTTATTATTGATAGTTTGTATGAATATTTTTTACCACGCATTATTTACTTTTTGGGGATCTTTATTATCCACCCGCACAGTAGGGAGCGGAATGAACATCAAATTGTTGCGAACGCCATTATAACAAAGAAGAAGAAGAAGAAGAACTCTCTGATTGGAGGAAAAAGATTGATGTCGTAGGCAGAAAAAGGCGTCACATCTTCTCCGTCAGAGCGGGAAAGCTACCACACATGTCAACGCATTTTATCTAGTTACAGATAACTATTTCTTTAAAACGGTGTAAAGTATTATTTCGAGCAACTTTGGGTAAGTTAGTTCTTAATACCAAAGCTAAATAGCTACTGATAATCAGTAGCTAACTGTTACTTGCAAACTGTTCTGGGAGCTAGCTAACTGGTGGTTGTTATTGTTTAGCCAGCTAGGAGCTTGTCAAAGAAAGAGAAGGTGAACGTCACCCTCTTTGACACGCAAGACAGTCAAGTATGGCTCAGTGACTAATGGGAAGTGGTCTGTTTTCTAAATCCTATTTTCAAGGAAGAGCCATGCAAGCGTTTTTGAAAGGTACATCTACACAAGGCACCAGACCTCTGAAAGAGAAAGGTGCCGGGACCAATGCAGAGAAGAAGCAGAAGTCTGTCCCCTGGGTAGAAAAATAGTAAGTTCAATTTCTCAGCAGCTGTAATGTAAGCCCTTGTGAATCTTCCTTCATAAAATGTAAATCCAGACACACAATGAACAGTTGTTATTCTTCCCATTTAATGTAGCTGCAGGCAAATATCTTGGTGACAAGTAGCTTGCTATGTTTAGTCAGAAAGAAAACCCTGCATTAATTTGATCAACTACACACTGAAATCCATTGTTTGGTTGTTTACAGTAGACCAAAATGTATGGAAGAGGTGGCGTTTCAAGAGGAGGTGGTTGCTGTGCTGAAGAAGACTATAGAGGGTGCTGATGTAAGTATCCTCTTCAGATCCATTAGTGACTTCTCATATGTTTAGGGTAAATACTGTGTGCCTGGGGTTCTGTTTTGAATATTACATAGGGTGTCCACCCGGGTGAAAATGCACTTGTGATGACCTTTCACTACCTTATGTCATAAAATACATTTTACCGGCCTCCCGAGTGGCGCAGCGGTCTAAGGCTCTACATCGCAGTGCTAGAGGCATCACTACAGATCCGGGTTCGATCCCGGGCTGTGTCGCAGCCGGCCATGACCGGGAGACCCATGAGGCGGCGCACAATTGGGCCCAGCATCGTCCAGGTTAGGGGAGGGTTTGGCCGGCTGGGATGACCTTGTCCCATCGCGCTCTAGCGACTCCTTGCACGCTGACTTCGGTCGCCAGCTGTACAGTGTTTCCTCCAACACTTTGGTGTGGCTGACTTCCGGTTTAAGCGAGCAGTGTGTCAAGAAGCAGTGCGGCTTGGCGGGGTCGTGTTTCGGAGAACGCATGGCTCTCGACCTTCGCCTCTCCCGAGTCCGTACAGGAGTTGCAGTGATGGGACAAGACTATGTGCACGTTGTAATACAACATTTAATTGTCGCATTTCAAACTATCCTTTCGGGAGGCGCAGCTGGGAACTAGCTCTGGATGATGGTTAGTGGTGGGGTCGATAAACAAGAATTGGAGGATCCTCATCATTTAAATCTCCGGTTTGGGAAAATTTTTGCTTCCCAGTAGAAGCAGAAATGTATTGAACTTAGTAGGAAATCAACTAAATATATTGAATTGATTAGAACATTAATTAGCCCATTATGACGATAACACATGAACAAAATACATAAGTAATTCGTATTTTCCTTTTTGAAGAGGCAACGGCGCAGGAATGCCCCTGTCTGTGCATTTGTCTGCCACTGTGTAGCCCTTAGCGATGACGTTAATAACAACAGTCTTCTGGTAGATGGAAAGGCTTTCCCAAAACCTTCTCATAAAAATGTTAACTACAAAGTAGTCTATGCATACCTGGCAGAATGATATGATTATTTGCCTCACTCCAGTGGTGATTTGTTAAGCAATCACGTGTGCTACAGAAACACTGCTAACCAAGCACGGCTCTTGCTGGTGTGCACCTAAATTAAATGGTATATCTACACCCAAAAATGTATATTTCTTATTTTTCCCATACCTCAAATGGTCTCCTGATGTGGTTTAAGCATTGTGGACATAGAACCTCACATTTTGTTTTTCTATAAAAAAAAAAAGTTTCATTTGAGTGTGAAACCCTGAAAAACAGGGGAAAATCTGAAACCTGGAAAAATAGAATGGGCAAAAAATAAAACCAATTTTATAAGGCCCTACATTATATGGCTCATGATCTATTCCTGGGTTAGTTTTACATCTTTTTCCAAATCAAAAATTAACTACAGGAACTGTTGGCATTTCATTTTCCCGCTAAACTGAACTGCGACCCCAAAACCGCACCATGACCCCAAAACCGCAATATGTGCCGAACCGTGGGTTTGGTGAAATGTTACCACTTTACTATCTTACCTCTATTGTTTCGTGTCCTCTGGATTTGAGAAGGAAGATGAGTTCAATGGTAAGCCTGTCAGGTAGCCTTAGTTCTCACAAAGCACCAGCCTAGCTGACACAATGCTATATACCTGGTCTTATGACAACAACAAAAATATCAGGCCTCCACTTATTTAGTCACCCAAATTTTGACCATCCTACAAGGGTAAAAACTCCAAAAAGCTTTGAACAGATTATGATAGAGACGTGAGGTTTGGATCATTGGCTTTCTTAGTGGATTATCTACACAATTAACATTATTTTACCCATTGGTCAAAAGATGCAGTTTTGATTGGGGAACCTATATTATATCATCTCCGTTGCAGCTCCCAAATCTGCTGTTCTATGGACCACCTGGAACAGGAAAGACCTCCACCATCCTGGCTGCAGCCAGGGAACTTTATGGGTGAGAGTGACTCACCAGCTTTCCAGATTACTGCATGCAAACTCCCAATTTATGCAGACACTGCGTTCGTGGGTTTCAGCTGTACAGTGCTTGTATACACCACAGTGAGTTTTCCCTGTCCGTTCCTCTCCACAGGCCAGAGCTGTACCGACAGAGAGTGCTGGAGCTGAACGCCTCTGATGAGAGAGGGATTCAGGTGGTCCGAGAGAAAGTCAAGAGATTTGCCCAGCTGACTGTAGCAGGACACCGCACTGAGCAAGTACCAGTATCTGTATAGGGGTTAAAAATTGCATATTTGGGCACTGAAGTTGGAATGTAGTGGCTGTACAGGAACATGCTATACAAGACATCAGAGCCCTGGCTCTGCGCTTCACAGCTCTGTGTGGGTTTTGATGACAGACATTCTGAACTTGAGCACCTCGCACGACATGAAGTTTCCCCATCCCTCCCACTAATTGGGCAACTTTTACAAATGTTTTTTTTGTCTGAGTGAGGGAAATGCTATAAATTTAAGAGGACTATGTATTTTGAATGTTGAGACGTTTAGGATTATAATAAATACCTCTGATGTCCTACAAGCAAACCAAATACCCGTGACTCCAAATGTGCACTTCACATTTCCATATCATAAAACTCATGTAATATACAGTGTCAACGTTTATGGTCACTATGTTTGATGTACAGTTACAAGATGACATGGTCATTATACCCTGGGTTGTTCTGAACAGAATGAGCCTATGTTTGTCTATTGTGAAGAAAATCCGCAGCGGAACACGCACCGGAATGCACTCATGACTCTGTTTTCGTGAATTGCTTTGTGAAAGCCTAACACTGTAATATTGTATTTATAACTTAGCTCAGGGATCATCAACTAGATTCAGCTGCGGGCCGATTTCTTTATATTTTAAAATATATATTTTTCTTAAGCGGATGGTCAGGGGGCCGGAACATCATTACAATTAATTTATAGATTGCAAATTGACCGCAAGAAGCCCGAACCGATGACTAAAACATCATCACTCCAAATCTTGTGTACATTTGTATACAATTACATACAGTATGTCTTTCTATTATGCGTGGTAATACTTTGGAACAGATTTTAAAAATTAAAATCACTTGGAGCTGATTTGCTGGTCTTTTTTTAAGTCCTTTTTTATTTCCAACAATGAATTTAAAAAATGTATTTATTATTGCTCAAAATTGGGGGGCCAAATAAAATCACATCAGTATTTTCAGATTTCATTATCAACAAAAAATACAGTAAATGTAAAATGCACAAAATCAACAGTGTTTGTTTTTAGTGTTAATGTTTGGATTCAGTCTTGTCAGGTGAACTGTTGTCCTCACCTTTGGTCTAATAATTTCCCCCATAATCTCTAAACTGTTCCCTTTAAATTGCTACCATTGAAATGCATGTGTTTCATATTTCTTCTGAAGAAACATTTCAATTTAGCCCTTATCCATATAGGCCAATTTCCACGAGTGTAAAGGGTTAACCTTCATTACAAGCTCAATCTACACAACAAATCAGATCATATAATACATGTACTTTCCTTACCCCCTATAACTATGTCAGCATCTTGTTCATGTTAAATTAGGATATTAAAGCCTATTTCCATTCCTTATCTCTGACAGTGGGAAACCATGCCCACCCTTTAAGATCATCATCCTGGATGAGGCTGACTCAATGACCAATGCTGCTCAGGCTGCTCTCAGACGCACCATGGAGAAGGAGTCCCGGACCACCCGCTTCTGTCTCATCTGCAACTACGTCAGCAGGTCAATTGGGTTTCAGATTCCAAGAGGCACACTAGAATATGAAACCTATACAGGGGTTTTTTGGGAGTCCATTACATAACAATACAAACTCTTTGAGACACTTTACAACATGCTGTAATAAATGTTAAATCTGTAGCTAAGCTAACTCAATTTGAATGGGATTTTATTTTCAGGATTATTGAGCCCTTGACATCCAGATGCTCCAAATTCCGCTTCAAACCTCTAGCCAATCAGGTCCAAGAAGAGCGCTTGCTAGAAATCTGTGACAAGGAGAATCTCAAGTACTCGAAGGAGGTAATGATTGCAACTGTCTCTGAAATTTTATTTTTACAAATAAATACACATCTTTTTACTTAAATTAATCATCTTCCATTTTCCTTCAATTCTGTTTTCCTGCAGGGAATTGCAGCGTTGGTGAAGGTTTCAGAGGGTGATCTGAGAAAAGCTATAACCTTTCTTCAAAGTGCTGCACGGCTGAACACAGATAATGAGATCACGGAGAGTGCAGTCATAGAGATAGCAGGGGTGAGTGCTTTAACTGTATTACACTCAACATCAGCAATAGTTACCTGTTTTATGCACTGTGTGCAGTCTTGTCGAAGGAGAGGTATCGAACTTTTGCTTCTTGCTGACCATGCTCACATTCATCTTTTTAAGGTTGTTCCCCCCAAGATGATCAACAATTTGCTTAAAATCTGTTACAAGGGCACATTTGAAAAACTAGAGATTGCTGTTCGGGTATGTACATTGGCTTTCTATTGACCCTTCAATACATATGGATCTACACAGTGTACAAAAGATTAAGAACACCTGGTCTTTCCATGACATAGACTATCCAGGTGAAAGCTATGATCCCTTATTGATGTCACTTGTTAAATCCACTTCAATCAGTTTAGATGAAGGGGAGGAGACAGGTTAAATAATGATTTTTAAGCCTTGAGACAATTGAGACATGAATTGTGTATGTGTGCCATTCAGTGTGAATGGGAATAACAAAATATTTAAGTGCCTCTGAACGGGGTATGGTAGTAGCTTGAGTGTCAAGAACTGCAATGCTATTGGGTTTTTCATGCTCGGACAGTTTCCCGCGTGTATCAAGAATGTTCCACCACCCAAAGGACATCTAGCCAAGTTGACTCAACTGTGGTAAGCATTGGAGTCAACCTGGGACAGCATCACTGTGGAATGCTTTCGACACCTTGTAGAGTCCATACCCTGACAAATTGAGGCAGTTATGAGGGCAAAAGGGGGTGGTGCAACTCAATATTAGGAAGGTGTTCTTAATGTTTTGTATACTCAGTGTATAATGTGGCTGCTCTCTAACAGACTATTCACCAGGCCATTCTGCCACTTTCAGAACATGGTAGATGAAGGCTATGCCGCCACACAGATCCTTAACCAGCTACACGAAGCCATCATAGAGGAAGAGCTGAATGACAAGCAGAAGTCTGCCATCACGGAAAAGATGGCTGTAGGTGTTTCAAAGGGGCATAACTTGCATTAATGTGGCAATATTATTATTTCAATAATGTTGTGATGACGACGCCTACAGTAGTAGTGTCTTATTGATTTGTCTCCCTCTTCCAGGTGGTTGATAAGTGTTTAGTGGATGGTGCAGATGAGTACCTGCAGATGCTGAGTCTGTGTTCTGTGATCATGCAGCAAGCCACGCAGAGTAACTGACCCTACAACCTCACCTCTCCTCATGGACTGTTCCTCTACGTATAAATCCTAACCAACTGCTTTTTCAATACATTTTTGTATGTTTTTACTCATTAATCTAAATATATTCCTTTAAATACTGTATTTGTCAATCAGTGCTGTACAAGTCATACTTCATGGGTCAGTTTCATAGAAAAGTACTGTGTTTTCACATCTGGGCTTTCTGAGTCAGTTAGGAAAAAAACACATGTAACCATATTCTTTTATATAAAGAAAACTGAATAAAAAAACAAGATATGGATTCTTCTTTGCAGACATGCACATACTGTCCATAATATGCATCATATATACATCACATCAATGCATTTTAAAAGTAGGATTACAGATGTAACAGATCAACATTGTCAGTTTAGTGTAGATGGAGGTAGTCACATAGTAAAGACTTCACCGCCTCGCCATTGGCGCCATCCAGACATGCAGCAGCTACATCGCAAGGCCGGGAAAGGCCTTGCCTCTTCTCTTTGAGCCACTTCTCCATACAGGGATCACTATTAATCTCACACATTATGTAGAATGAATGCAGCATGCCTGGGTCATCACAGGGATCAGGGCAGCTTGGCAGTTGTTGCGCTTCAAGCACTACCAGCAGGCTTTCAGGCATGGAAAGGTAGACTCCATAGGGGTCCGTGCATGACTCAGCAGAGCATTTAATGTTGTTGAGGTGACTCTGGATAACATTTGAGCAGCCAGCTCTGTAAATGGAAGGCTGCATCACCCAACTGCACATCGCCGAGAGGTTGTCCCATGAGTTTGTGAGGTGTCTGTGGTGACAATCCCCCTTCTCACCAACATCCATAGTTCAGAGCTCTGCAGTACGGTTGCATCATCAGTGCTACCTGGAAAGCCTACTTGAAAGTCCCAGAATTGACTTTGTCTGTTCATAACTCCCTGCACCACCGTGGAGGGCTATCCTTTGCTGTTTGGCGTTGAGATTTCACAGACATATGAAGGGAATTAATGACACCCACACAATGAGGGAAACCCCATTTTGTGTTGAACATGGCAGCAATTTTCTCCAGCTGCTGTTCACTTGGCTGATGAATGAGTGGCTTCAGCACTGTCACAATGATATTGTCTATATTTAGTATAAATGTGATTACTGTGGGGCTGCTCGTGCCAAGTAGGTCACCGATAGAGAGGTAGTCCAAGTTGGTGGCTAACCATATAACTATTGCCACACATTTCTCCAGGGAGACATGACAGGTGGGGTCTTTTACTTCCGGTCTGAGCTTGTCACAGAGTTGGTAGAATGTGTCGAGCCAGTCTTGAGGCTGGAACTTCATCACAACCCTCTCCCGTGAGTCTGACAGGCTCCGCAGGTGTGTAGTCTTGAGAGGGAGCTTGGTGGTGGCTGAAACTAGAATATATATATATATATATATATATATATATATATATATATATATATATATATAGCAGTTATGGATATTTGAATTCCCAATTTTTATTTCATAAAAAACCTGTTTAAGAAGTTGGGACGTTTGAATCCCCTATTTGATTCTGCCTTTGAACTACTGCATGCGTTCTCTTAATACGGACACGTGATATGTCAGGTTCTGACTGCACTTACTGTATGTGGACGCTTATTCATTTTGTTGAGGATATAGCTACATTTTATGTCTGAAATGAAGTTCGATTTCCATTTATCCATGATGGGGAAACTTTCTGAGGTGTTATGAAAGGGAAGGTGTGTCTTTGCTAATTTTTAGGTGGTGCAATGATGACCATACCAATAGGAGAACAATTTTGTTTAAAAGGGCACTGGAACTTGATGGTTCTCCATTTACCTGTCATGATTAATTAATGACCATTCTTTTAATTTGTATCATTGCACAGAAGGTGACAGAGGTGATGCGCAACCTGACGCCCAACAACTCCCCAATGTGCTCTCCCTGCAAGCATGGTGACAAGTTCATCCCATCCCGTGCAGGGGCCAAATGGAGCATCACAGGATTAATCAATGTACAGTATGTCACTTTAACATCCTACCCTATGAATTATGATGGGTAAATCCATTTGAATTCAATCACTTTTTGAAAGCACCCCTTTTGATTTAAACAAAAACTTCCATACATATTTGTCTATTGTAGAAGTGCTCAGAAAGTGACTTAAAGGTGGATAAAAGTGCTCAAAGTTGACCTATTTTGCATACCCCACCATATTATGAGACATCCATGTCTTCATCACTGGAAAATATAAGTTAACGGTTGGGATTGATACAAACAGGGTTGTCAAACTATTTTATAATTTCTTGAAAATTATTTTTTAAACCTTAAATGTCAACAAGGCAACAGTAAGCATGTTGTCCCCCACGAATGATGCAGCGCCACCCCCCTTGGGCCAATTGAGAAATCGCATGTGAGAGTTTCTATCTACAAGCCATCAGACTGCTGAACACTTGAATTGGACTGAACACCTGCTCTGATTCTCTGCACCTTAGCACACATGCACACACCCACACAGACATACACACATATATACATTCATGCTACACACACATCACAACTGCTGCTTGCTACCAGACTTACTATGCTGCTCAGTTTATACACTGTTTATATACATTTCAGTTATTGAGTGTGACCACAGATTATCCATTATATTGACCAGATACTTAAGCGGCCACTCTAACAATGAAAATAAATGTCTTTAAACAATGATAGGCAGTTAGCCTGGGTACCAGTCCAGTCTTTTAAATTCAGGTAAATTTGCCAGTGGCACACGGGGCCAGTACCAAGTGAAAACTACTGGCCCAAACCAAGATCACAGGAAAGCAAGTTATGCACGCAGAATTTCAATTGTGGGTGATTTAATGTTTCATTTTCAGTCTGGGATGCAAGTACCTTATATAGCCAACCATAAAATCTGATATTTACACTGATTGTTTGGAAAACAAAACAACCATCCCCCCTCTCAATGATGACATATAGCCTATATTAAACCATTTATAATGTAATATTCCCCTCCAGAAATGATCCCAATAACATATTGATGAAAAACATTATCTTTAGTGCCTGTACATGGTCCATATTATCAGGCAGGTGTGTCTGATGCAGCATGGTGGCTACATTACTGAAGCATGGGGTTGCTCCTCTGCATTGTTTACCACCATGGGCTAATCTTTAGCTAGATCACAGACTCTAAATTTGATCTTGTTGCTTGTTTAATATCTTTTTTTTTTTACTTCCACTGGCACTAATAAAATCAGGTGATATTTACAGTGTTTATAAATACAGTCTAATTGTGTGAATTTTACAGTGAATGGAGTATAGGCCTACCGTTTATGCCTTCGAATGGCTGAAGCGCATCGCGCGGTTACTTTTTTTTAAATTGTCATGCCAGACACTTAAGATTGTAAAACGCTGCCCTCTTGCGCAAAATCGGAGTTGAAAAATAAATCATTACTCTTTTCAATAATTGCCATCAAAACGGTTGCATTTTCCCGAGAATGCATTTAGGAATGTTGCGAAGTGACTGGGCTTATTAGAACACATTTCTTTCTGCACAGCAATCAGCTGTGTGTGGAGTTGTGTGCTCTTGCCACCTGACAGTTGATATTCAGCCATACCTGCAGGAAGTAGGGGTGCTGAGGGTGCTGCAGCACCCCCTGAAAAATCAGAATATATATATTTTTAAACAATACTATCTATATATATATATATATATATATATATAAACACTGAACAAAAATATAAACGCAACATGCAACAATTGAAATAAATTAATTAGGCCCTAATCTATGGATTTCACATGACTGGGAATACAGATATGCATCTGTTGGTCACAGATACCTTTTTTTAAAAAGGTAGGGGCGTGGTTCAGAAAACCAGTCAGTATCTGGTTGCGACTACCATTTGCCTCATGCAGCGCGACACATCTGTTTCGCATAGAGTTGATCAGGCTGTTGATTGTGGTATGTGGAATGTTGTCCCACTCCTCTTAAAATGGCTGTGCGAAGTTGCTGGATATTGGCGGGAACTGGAATTCTGTTGTACACGTCAATCCAGAGCATTCCAAACATGCTCAATAGGTGACATGGCTGGTGAGTATGCAGGCCATGGAACAACTGGGACATTTTCAGCTTCCAGGAATTGTGTACAGATCCTTGCAACATGGGGCCGTGCATTATCATGCTGAAACATGAGGTGAAGACGGCGGATGAATGGTATGACAATGGGCCTCAGGATCTCATCACGGTATCTCTGTGCATTGTCCATAGGTTATGCCTGCGTTGACATCAGCAAACCGCTCGCCCACACGACGCCATACAGCTTCTTGATATGCCACATCTGTCAGGTGGTGGATTATCTTGGCAAAGGAGAAATGCTCACTAACAGGGATGTAAACAAATGTGTGCACAACATTTGAGAGGTATAAGCTTTTTGTGCATATGGAACATTTCTGGGATCTTTTATTTCAGCTCTTGAAACATGGGACCAACACCTTACATGTTGCATTTATATTTTTCAGTATACCATTTTTTGTTTGTTTATGAGGAGTGCAAGGTCAAATTGAGTTTGTGCACTTCACAAAGGTGGCGTTCCCTAACGGAAATATGCAAATACATGCTACAACGGGCCAATAGGATCTCGCTAGCTCGCGCTTCGTTTTGTACACATCCTTGCTTGTTCTGCCCACTGAGCTTCATTTGCTCCCACTGTAAATGACACAGATTAACTATCTTTGGTTAGTTAGTAACATCTTTGGCAGAGCCGTTGTGAAGGAAGTTGTCAAGGAAGTGAGTTTGTGTTTATACAGGACCTCCCGCCCCCACCTAAAATCACTCGAGGCTAAAGAATGGCCGGACCTCCTCAGCCATTGCACCAGCTGTTGTCATTGGTAGCTCTATGGTAAGAAACATCTTGGTTCTCGGGGCAAAAACCCTGTGCTATCCTGGAGCACGGGCACAGGACATTACAAGGCTGCTTCAGACTGTTCTACGACAGCTGCCGGGAGCTGATGCTGTCGTAGTCCATGTGGGATCAAACGACATTAGGAGGGCTAGCTTGGAACTGCTGAAAATTGATTTTCAAGAACTGATTCTAGCTCTGAAAGATTCCAAAAAGCGGCCAATTATTTCAGGTCTGGTGCCAACGCTAGGCAGCAGGTGTGAAAGATTCAGCAGGCTACTGGCATTACACACCTGGCTAAAAGATTACTGTAGCTCTGTTCGAATAACTTTTATAGATAACAGAGGATGCTGTAGTCTACAGAAATGACGGAGTCCATC